AAATACAGGCCATTTACCATTTACTAAATAGGGACCTGAAGTGGAGTTTGGACCCAGAAACGGCTAATGAAGTCAGAATTAATAACTGGATGATTAAGCCCCACAAGTGTTAGCTTTATTTTGATACCAAAATAGTTAACACAGAGTTTGTAACTGTAGAGATTCAAAAATACTATTGCAATTTTTCTTTTTCTTTTTTTAATTGTCTACCCCGCACCTGCATTATTTAATCACCAAAACTTAATACACATGTCCTCTCTGTTTCAGTATTACTCTCAAAGCCAGCAGACTTTATTCTCTTTGTTCTAGGGGAAATTTGAGTTACAGCTACCCTAGATGACGATTTTTGAACAAAGCATTTCAGAGAAATTTAATTCACAGGTACTTAGAATGTCACTGCAAGGGCAACTTTAGCTGCTGTTTACGCCAAACAGGAGGAGAAAAGTGGGATCAGTGGCTGAGATTTGACCCATGTGAATTAGTTCATTTTATAAGCAGATTACATCAGTATCTCTATCTGATTAATGGATACATCTGAGCTCTTTTGGTAGTTAAATCTTGTTTCTCTCTAAGAAAAATGGTTAAATCTTACATAAGAGCTCTGCTTGTAATCAAGTACCACACATAACCCTTGCCCCCCCCCCCCTTACTGTTTTCTCTCCTGTTTCAATTTCCCAGTTTGGACATACAGTAATCAGGCAGCTCTTGTTATAGCTTCCAAGAACATACTACTGGATCACTTCACTCAATTAGAAACCTTCCTATGCAAATCTGACTGACAGGAAAAATCTAGTGTCAAATTTTCAAAATAAAAGACCAACATTACTTGTACTGTTGGACAATGATGTACACTTTAGCGTCAGGCTTTTAAACAAAACAAAACAAATAAACACAAGAACAGGAAACTACCTACATTCAAATGAATGGATTGATTATTTGCTCATACTATTTAAGAATGTACTCACACTAGGCATTGCTTTTATTTTGACTGAGGGTTCTTAGACAAAACTAGGTTTGGGCTTTTGTTCTAAACTGTTTTGGTGACCTAATTTTTAATTGCAGGACCACAAAATCTTACTGAGAGCAATTTCCTATAGAAAAGAGGGACACACATTCGTGGAAAACCTTTACTAGATCAAGTTATGATCTTGATCTGTTGGTTGGCATTCATTTCAGAAAAATTTGTACAGGAGTATCATCTAACCTAACTGAGATGAGTTACGGATGAGTTTTAGACAAAAGCATTTCAGAGGACTTAGAGAATCGACACAAAGTTTTGCACAATTACTCCGGCAACTTGAGCTGCTGCTGTCTAGAACTGATAGGGATGGGTGGTGTCACTGGATGAACTTTTATTTTAATGAGTGTTTTCTAACTGATGAATTTGATCATTTGCTCTCAGTGATTACTGGGTTTAAGTTTAAGGGAAATGGGCCATGGAACTGTGGACAATGTAAAAATATGAACAGGGGTTGTGTGCGGCAGGCAGAAATGGAGGACCCAGTATGAAGACTCCAGGATGGAAAAGGTAAACTCAAAACTCAGCTTTACTGCTGGAAATCAGAAAAACAGAAAACTAACTAAACTGGAAACACTCATGAAGTTAAAAAGGCAGACAGACAGGACATGACACTGGATGGAAGAAAACAAAGGGGTTAAATACACAAGGAATGACGAGTGAACAGGAAACGCGACGAACACAACTGGGGCTAATTACGCACAAGGAGACAGATGATGCAAAGCTGAATATAACACATGAGACGAGGTACCTTCAAAGTAAGAGAGGCAAAAGCAGAACATGGCGCACACACACAGGAGACAACCAAATTAAAACGGGAAGTAACAGGAACACACCCACACACACAGACCAGACCTAGATAGACACGACACAGACGAGTCCGGGAAAGAACAGACATGAAAACACAACAGACAACGAAACACAAGGACACAGGGAAGGCAATATAACAAAACTAAGAACTACACAACAGAAATACAAAACTAAACCCAGGTATCCTTACAGATGTCTACGTGTATGTGTGGACACATGAGCAGTTTTGTGTACATCTTTGCTGATATAAATGTGGGACTGTGGTTGTTTGTTTATAACTAAACAAATGGGATCAGATACAACCTGTACAAATTATTTGTTATTATCATGCAAGCTTTGACTATGCATAATTGGGTGGTGCTTGCACTGACAATCCACCACACTATCAGTAGTAATGAAATGTTATTTGTGTTTTGTGGGTTTACATTTGGAGTATTGTAAAATAAGAATATTGCTCTGTAGATTTGGTAGACCTTAAAAAAATTAACAGATGTTAAGTTTTAAAAGAGAAAATCATAATCTTAAAAAACACAAACAATATGTGTACACCATATTATACATCCTCAGTCGCAGGCAATGGCATCGTTTTTCTCAAGAACCTATTTCCTCTTTACAGATTAACAGTGCTGTCTTTCTTCCAGCATGCTTGGTACTAACTGAAGTACAATGGACAATAAATGCAGGGTCATCTATTTGTGCTTTCTCAATAAAAAGCTTCTTTATAGCCATCGGAGTATAACACAATCTATTCAGCTAGCAAGCAAAAGACCAGCATTAATGGATTTCACCTTCTTTGGTGCAAACGAAAGTGACAACGTTACACTGCAGTGGCAACGAGAAGACAACCTCCATTCAGTGCAACTAGAATGTCACTAATCTCACCATGAGTGACAGAGATACTTGCAAAAAGCAAAAGTAGAGAAAAAACAATCAGGAAATAATAGAAAATCAATAAAGAGATTTTAAATTTGAGTGTCAGTCACACACAAATTTGTACAAGCACCTTTTATGTCTAAGTACTTTCTTTCTAATTTTTGGAGGTTGTCTTCTTGTTGTCGGTGCACAGGTTATCACTGTTATGTGCACCAAAGCAGGTGAAATGGATCCTGCTTCCTAACTGGACAGACTGATATCTAGAAGGTTTATCTGTATGTTATATTTTGATGATCAACTCTTCATCCTCATCATTATAGTAACTTATACTTGACTCCTAACTCGATTATGTCTCAGATACCAAGTGATCAACCCAAATCCCTCACCTGCTGAAACAATTAATTTTATGTAAAATAGGGTTCTTGAAAAAGCTCATGGACCTCAGCATGCAGTTTAGCCACAGTGTCTGGAGAAAACCATCCTGGGCATGGAGAAATGTTTACAGTTTATATAGGTGTGATTTAAAATGATATAGAGTGACCCTGGCAGGGTTACTGAAACATCTCCAATTCAAGGACAACATTTCAGACACTTACTGTCAGTCTAATTTATAATAAAAATCTTAAATCTCTAATATTCTATAATATAATGCACAATGTTGCTAACACTGAAACTTATTTATCTGAAATTTATTAATTTAGTTTATTGTGTTGTTTAACAACATTTAATCCTTAAGCATTGGGACCACAAATGACAAATTTTGTTGAGCACAGAGGCTGAGATGAAAAATAACACACAACAATCTTGAAGTGTAGCTACTGTTCCTCCCACACTGAAAATAACCTTCATCTGACCTTCGTCTGAGTGCTTGCTGTGGTGGAGACCTGCGGTCAGAATGATTGAAAAGTGATTGATTGCTAGCAAATGATCGCTAAATGTTCTTAAAGCACACACACACACACACACACACACACACACACACACTAGTAGATAGTAGATAATGTAAAGATAAAGTACACGTTTTTACGCTGCCTCTTAATGTTGTTATGTTATATCAGTTTAAAATACTTTTTAAAGCTGACAAGAAGTGTGTGTAGAGAGCTTGAATGCTCCACTCGGCAGAGCAAATGAGTTTGGCACATCAGTACATTCAAATCATGTCTCTGTTTCCGAGTGTAGATGACAGGACAGGTTAAAAACAAAAAATAAACATACACAATAAGTACATAAATAACAAAAACATCAATAAAATAAAAAGTATAAATAAAAAGTGTA